ATATATGGATAATACATATTCAACTACTCTTATATATGATCAGGATTCCTCAAGCTTTACTTATATTAAAAATCTAATGAGAATTGACCGGTGTTTAGTTAGTTTGTAGTTGATCTGGATAATTTTATTTTTAAAACAAATTAAAACCTTCTTCAACGAAAGTTCTAAATAGATCATCAATGATAGTCCAGTCATTCTCAGCCATAATATATGATAATAATGCATATCATTTCCCATCAATTGATTAATTTTATCTGGATGTTTAAATTCTACATTTGGATAATGAAAATAATTTCCAACAAATAGTGTTGAACGTAATGATAAACTATCATATTTTGATTCATCATATGAAAAAAAACTGATAACAACTTGAGGCAAGACAATTTTATTTAATCAATATATTTGTATCACATATACAATATTCCAAAAAACGGTATTGAGGCCATTGTTCATCAAGTAAATAGCGACGCATTGACTAAATAATTATATTTAATTTATTTTTCAGAAAAAAATATAAATGTTTCTCTTTTACTTCTAAATGATATTCTTTTATTTTAGGTGGAATTCCTTTTGATAAAGGTTTTTTTTGACTTGCATCCCGAGCAAATTGCATTAGAATTGAATTAAGAAGAACAGCTGGTTTTCAGTGTCGAGAAGTAACAAGATTGGGAGCAGCTTCTGGATGATTTCGAAATAAAGCACAATCATTAGCTGCATGATTATAAACAAGATCAGTTACTGAGCATATTTTCCAGTGTTTAGCCTTCATATCAATTATGTTTTTTATCTGTTCATGTGTACCTTTAAATATTGGATTTAATTTATGATGATCTGTTATCGCATATGATGAATTAGAGACATGATAAAGTAATTGTATTGGTATAAAATGTCTTTTTGAAACTCCTTTTCTCAATGACATTAAACTATTTGATAAACTTAAATTGTTCAGTTTCATCGACATTTATCAACTAATTTTCCAAATAAATGTTCTTGAAAAAACAAAAAAAAATTCATATGATTATTTAAGCATGATTGAAGAATTTTCAAATTTCAACAAAAACTAATTTCATTCGAGTTTATTCGAGAAAGGAGATCAAATTTTTGAATGAAATCATTTTTGAAATAATCTTTCTTGAGATGTACCGTAGTTTATGGTTAAAAATTACGAAAAAAAATCACCAAGACAAAAATATCTGACTTTTACAAGACTAATGACGATAAAAAATATGATAGATCAGAAGTGTCCGATGTAAAATTAGCCAATGCTTTACATTGTTCCATCGTCACCCTAAACAAACGAACAAAGTCGAAATGATAATAATGATCATCAAAGCTTCAAATAATCATCTATGTTTGGATCAAGTAGGATGGACTTTTTTCGCTGACCTATCTGAACAAAATACGTATTGAGACATCCATTTGTCACTTAAAATTTTTCTCCTTTACAGAAGATGCATTCTAGATCCCCGATACCTTCGCTGCATGTAGATGTTGATTTTTTTCTCAACAGTTTGGAACTAGTGTATAGTGATTGGTCGACACGCATAGAAACAGCAAGAAATATTGAAAATCCCACTCGATGAAAATTATAATCACGATAGAAATGTCTTTAAATGAGATAGTGCTGTTTCCCCCTTGAGATTGATATAGAACAATAAGTTGTTGTGTTCCTATGTGTTCGTTTCCTTTCTTTGGATCAGTGATCGAGATATGATGATGATAATTCTACTAACGATCACAATAGGTATACTTCTTTTTATGATTTATAATTGATCTCATTTCTTGATTGAAGACTCTCACCTTGATCTACTGTCTCTTTTTTAAAACAATATTATTGGAGGCAACCCACTTGTTCATACTGCTTTTGTTCTTGTGGTTGAACATTAAGTTTTCTTGTTTCAAACGTTTCTTTTGGTTTCTTCGCTTTTGTCGATGACGAGCGTGATTTTCGTTGCCTTGGCTCCTGAGTACGTGGTTCACTACAAAGAAAAAAGTAGATAGTTTCTTTTTTATTTATAAATGAAGCCAATATAGTAAATAGAAATGAAAGATTGAAAATAACGAGCATTAGTGATAAATTAATACCATGAAAAAATTAATGCTGCATCAATATTATTCATTCGTTGAATCCAGCCACTTGGTGCCGCCTTACCATATTCAGCTGAAAGCGAAAGCAAGGAAAAGCAATATTACGAAGTCTGACGACACATGTGCAAAATCATGCGAGTAAAGTTAGCAGTGAGCTCTTTCTTTCTGATTTTTATTCACGTTCCTATCTGCGCTACCTAGAAGATGAGCTGTGCTTAAGCCTCTCCCTCAAAGATTGATCTCAGCCGAGAAAAGTTCTAATCGTATGAAATTTACAGAGCATGTTGGGACTAATGTGGAGAAGCTATCGTAAAATTTTCAGTCCTATATCATATTGCTTAAGGGAGATATTGATCAACAAGGGTAAAAATGCGTCATTGGGCAAACCAAATTTCTATATTCAGCCTCATTCTATGTATTAAAATTTTTTTGCTTGCAAGAGAATATTAGAATGTAGTGTAGTACAGAGTCGGTTTTTCTTAAATTCTTACTTTTTAAGCTGAGAAAGAGGATCACAAGTTGAATGACTCAGAAAACGCTCGAAAAATTATGCTGTAATTATATAGGTGTCTGTATATATGATAAAAAGAAAGCGTAATTTAAGAAAAGAACTCTGTATTGCATCGCAGCTTGACATGCTCTCTGAAACAAAAAGAAATTCAAGTATATAGAATGAGTCTGGAAAGAGAAATTTGGATTGCGCGATCAGGAAACCATAAACTGAGAAAGAATGAAAAAGATTGTCAGTTTTTTCCAAAAAATAGTGTATTTTTCAAGTAGGGGATGATAGAATTCATGGAAAACTTTTATAAAAAGGGCATATTAGATAAAAGTCCATAGTGTTTCTGATAGAGCAGACTTCGGGATATCTCCCCATGCATTTATCTTCATTTCGACATTTTTTCCGAAAGTGGATTTGTTTTGAGGAGGAGGAGAGGAAGAGGCTTAAGTCAACTGAATTTTCAATCTAATGAAATTATTTTTACTACTTGGGTTATCGACTGCGTATAATTGTTTAGGACCTGATGATTATAATTTTTAAGTAGTTTGTTTCAGAGTTTTACAAAAAAGAGTTCTTCTTGGACCTACGCCATTCAAGAAACGAATTCTACATGATTTGATTGCTCGAAAACCAGCGATATCTGATCGACACTAAACTCATTCACGAAAAATCCTCATAGGCGATTGCTAAAACTATCTATCACAGGAGAGGATCGATCTGCATTCATAAAACTAAACCTTGCAGTTGTCCAGTTAACAATTAAATTAGTTCTCGCTCAATGAACTGTTCATCATTATGATTAAAGAGCCGTGTGTACAACATGAGGCATCAATGAACAACTTACGTCGAATGACTTATCTATGAGATCGGCACAACCCTTTTTTATAGTGTATATCCTAAAACGAACATTAGCCTAAAAATAGCGAAGAAAATTTCCTCTAATAGCGTAATTATGGAGTAGATTCCTATTTTGAATCCATGAATTTCTTTTTGAATAGTAAAACTGCGTAGGAAGTGAAATGCTGCATCTAAGGCATCAATTTAGTAGGGAGAGATACCGGTCTTCTGACGAACATTAGTTAAAAAGTGAAAATCTCGAGCTAACTTTACTCGCACACAACACTATCTATTTGATATGCAAGCAAGACAACAAAATGGATACTAGTGTTTCATACCTTCGCCGCCGAGTAAAATGTAAATATCCATTAAATCCGATTTCATTCGGTCGACTTTTGAGATGCTATAAAAACTGTCTGGATTGAGATAAGAAACACAACCAGCACACACAACTTACAATGACATTCGAATCATTTCGAGGAGAATTTGTTTATCTTTTTGATCCGCAGGTATTGAATTTAACAACATGATATCGCGTTTGACTTCTACAAGATAAAAACAATTTTTTGTTGCTCAACATTGGTTGCTCTTATTACCATCAATCTTTCCAACTTTCAGATTTGTTTCAATTCGAAGCCGAATCGCTGCCTTATATTCTTCTTCAGCTTTATTTGAAAATGAATCAATGTATTTCGATAGAGCCTAGGAATCATAATAGAAAATAAGAGATAAGAGAATTTCCATCGTTCTTACTTCAATACCAGTTTCATAATTACCACGTTGATTTTCAGTTAAAAATTTGGATAAAAGATGGCATTGTGCCATTAGCTAAATCACAAGAAACACCAAAGATGAAAATTTCAGTGATGATGATAGAGAAGTGTTGCTAATGAAAATCTAAAACAAAATGTTTTTGTACATTTTTTTTTACCTTGGCCAAGGGTACATTTATAAACATTTTCTTTTCATAAACAAAATGTACCAAACTGTACACATAGAATTCATCTAATCTATCCAATGTAAAAGAATAAAAAAAGAAGATCCATTCGTTTCTCTTTCATAGGAAAAAATTGGCAGCAAACAATCAAATAAATGATAAATGCACATACAATATTCATCCAATAAAAACATGAAAATCATTACCATGTAAAAAATAAAAAACCAGAAGAATTTTCGTGTTTTTCTTTCTCGACAAATAAAAAGACATTCAAGGAACAAATGAAATGAAGTTGCCATATGTAGCGAGTTTTGTTTAGACTCTCTCTGGAAGATCATATAAGAAGAGGGCGCTACATATCGATAACGAAATCAGTTAACTAATTTCGTCATCGGGATGCAGCGCTCTCTTGCGAATAATTATTTACAAATCCCAGGTGAAACGGTACGGCTTCGGGACGCGTGCAGCACCGCAGATCAGTAAGCGCACCGTGAAGTGCATTAATGCACTTTGGTAATTTTTCTATTGGTTGATTTTCGAAAGCCAACCAAATTATTGACGTCAGTTTTCAGTATAGGTGAAAAAAACTATTGTATCGGTCGTTTTTTTTTATTGTTTTTTGGTTTCCGTACTGATATTGAATTTATTGAAAAAGTTAAACTTGTTTTGCAGATCCTTTTTAATTTTTGTCTTTTGAGATAATTGATTTGAATGAAAGATTTGATTATTAAAAAAAAATAAATTAAAAAATAATTTTTATATATATAATAAGTTAATTTGAACTGTTGAGCATTTTAAAAACATTATTTTAATAGAAAAAAATAAAATCTTTTATTTTATTGTAATATTAGATTTAAATTATATTCAAGGTAATTTGAGAATAAATAAATAAATTAAAAATATAACAATTATTTAGCTTGGATTGAAATAAATGTTTCTCTTTAATTAATTTTTTTCTTGTATAGAAATGTTAAAAAGAATAAATATAAATGAATTTTAGTTTAATTTATTATAAAATGAGTATCTTTTTTAACATTAAACTTATAGTAAAAAAATGAAATTATTTATAAGATATATTCAATTCGTAGTAAAATAAACTAAAATAAATCAATATTTTTTTAACAGCTTTTTTCAAAATAAAATTCAACGAATGTAAAAAAATATTTTGTTTAAGTTGAAATTAATATTTTATATTGTTTAAATTTTATTCTGAGAAAAAATATGAAAAAATAAACATAAATTTATTTTAGTTTAAACTACCACAAAATGAATATTTTGCTTCAAAACAAAATTCAAAGAATATATAATATTTAACTCGATTAAAAAAAAAGTATGTTTAATATTCATTAAATTTTATTGTGAAAAAATGTTAAAATAAATATTAATTTTAATTTAGTTTATTACTAATTGAATGTATTTAGTAAATAATTTAATTTTTTTAATTTTAAGTTTAATATTAAAAAATATAACACTACATAAAAAACCTCAGTTTATAATAAATTAAATTAAAATGAATTAGTATTTATTTTTTTTAAATTTTTTTCAGAATAAAATATAATGCATGTAAAATATTTTTTTCAATGGAAATAAATATAAACTCATTTTAGTTTAATGCACTACAAATCGAAAATATTTTTGATAAACTAATTAATTTTTTCGATTTCAAGTTAATTACCGTAATCAAAATAAATTGTCTTAATGAAAAAAAATGTATCACTTCAGTATAATGTTTTTTTAATGCACAATTGATTTCATTGACAATAATGCTTTAATTAACTTAAATCAATAAAAAATATAAACTACTAAATTTGTCTTATCTGAAAAAAAAACAGTTCAGAAATTATTCAAAATTAATTTACTTTTTTTTCTGAATTGGTTTAAATAATAGTAAGAAATTTAACTAATAACGTACGCGAAAATAAATTCAAAAAAGCACTAAAAACTTAATAAATGAATGAAAAAAAATTAAATAAAATATATTTGAAGGTTTCGGTATAGTCGTAGAAGAACTAAAGTATTGTAGATTTTATATGAAAATTAAAAAGATACTTTTAGTTCAGAAAAATATGATTCGTTTTTTCTATTGATAGAAACTATAAAATAAATCTAACGGTTTCTCTCGTCTTATATACTCCTATACAGTCATTATCTGATTACGAACTCTCCTTCTTGGAGAATTGTTCATGGTACGTATAACGTACACTCAGGATACGTGGCGCTCGTTTGCTTCGTGTATTCCACACGAATTGAGGCGTACCGATGTGCCGTACGCGCACCCATGCCGTACCGCTCGACATGGGATGAAATATACATGGTATGGGAGCGGTGCAGTAACATCTGAACGAATCACATCACTGAAGTATTGTTCTGTTCTCGTACATTATGGCATAGAGATGAGATCAGATCATATGTTCTTCGTCATTGACCATCAGATAGATTCTTCTGCTGTATCTTTTCATTTCGCGTTTCATTGATTAGCCCAGAAGACAAAGAAGAATAAGAAGAAGCTGACAGATATTAGGTGAAGCAATGAGAGAGGATTAGCACTTCATTTTGGGATTGGTTGAACAAACATGGATCAAAAGGAATCAACGAGATCATCATCGATCACTGGTGGATTTATGGAAGGAGAGGATGCGATGGGCTGATCGTACTCCTGTTCGAAAATATTCATATTAGAAAAACTGCTGTATAATTATAAATATATTCAATGTGTCATCTGAGCATGAAGTATGCCTTTCAGTTTCGTTCTAAATTAATTTGTTAGACTAACAGCAATGCACTGTCGCTGAATAAAATCTATCTAAACTTATCAATAATTTGTTCGCTGAAACTTCCTGTTGTCGAAAAGAAAAAGAGTGAATCGCATCTGTTTTAACATGACGAAAAAAAGAAACATTCAGGACTTCATGCAACCTATCAGTAAAGAACCACAAAAAACGAGGTTTTTTGTTAGTTGGTCACCGACATAAGAGTATCATATTTTTTATCTTTTCCTGTATTGAAAAGCATCAAAAAGCTATTTGCTTTCTACTATATCCGAACGATGCACATATACAGAAGCCTACTGAGAGATGTTAATGCATTTAGTAATCAATGTTCTCACTTTTAGCATCATGTTAATTTTTGTATTTGATTTTCATGTATAACTGTGTGGCTTTGAAAAGGATGCTTCTGTTCTCCTTGTTGTATTCGAAAATGTGAAAAAAAAACAGATGAGAATATTTTTGATCACTAAGAAAAGATAATTTTGATTACAAAATTCTTATAGAATGAATTTCACATCATCTTTCTCGAAAAATAGTGGGGATAGGGGATATTTTCCTCATTCACATCCACCCCTGCATCAACACCCGGATCCTCACCGACAAATCTGAATCAATTAGCAGTCACGTCATCAAGTGATAGACTACTATCCGTAGCAGGATTCAGTCTGATTTCGAACTTGAGAATTTCACAAATGAAAATGTGCATTGTTTTTTCCTGCCGATACATGGACTCTGATCACTAATTACTTTGAGCAAATATTATTATTTTGACTTTTGCAAACTAGGCTAAATGTGGCTGAGGGATTATATCTGTCGTGTTGAAGCATCTGATAAGAGAAAATGAAAAATCATAATTCCAAAAGAATTGATAAGCAAAAGTATTCGTTTTTGGTGATCAAAACTACTTCTTCCGAATAAAAATAACGTTATACTGTATCTAAAAAAATTCATACTTTCAATTTCTTCTACAGTAAAAAACAATACCATCTAAGACATACAAAAAATTGTAACCCCATCCAAAATTCTAGATCCGCCACTGATGATCTCATATTGTCCATCTACAACCAATTCATCTCCAACTTGTTATGATTTATTCGGTATAGTGAATCATTGTGATAGTGCATGGTTTGAACATTATACATCTTATCCAAGATAATTATCTTATAATGATTTGACTAACACTGAAAAGTGATAAAGAAATTTTTCTTGATTATTTAATTTTTCTTTTTCCTGTAGGTTGCAGATCTTTATCTTTTTGATGAAAGTATATCACCATTATCATAGAATAAACCTCTTGTTTGATTTGATGCTTATGACTTTTTTTTATCGTCATCGTCTTTTATCAATTAATTTTGCGGTTAAGGAGCAAAATACAACACCCATACCCATTAGTGGATACATATGAAGATCAAGTACCTATAGAATCATCTTTTATAAAACATGTACAGCATCTTTTCTGCTTGAACAACGGCTTATATTTCTAAAATACCAATAATAAATAATTGATAATGTTTAATTATTTTTAATTTGGTCGAAATAATTCAATTTAACCTTAATTTCTAATAATTTTACATGTTAAATTCTATCTGTATTTTGAAATTCAATTTATCTCTCAAATAATTGAAGGATTTTTTATTATTGTGTAACTATTTAAAACCAGTATTGCATTAATTTTAGCAAAAGTGTGAGTTTTTACATTTGCTACACAACAATATATATTTTCTTTATTATCAATTGTAATATTTTTAATCATGAAAGATTTTTTTTCATGATTAATATCATATATTATTTCTGCATGCATATGTTATGGGTGGGTGTGGGTGTGGGTGTGGGTAGGGATATGTGTGGTTGAAGAGAAGACTCGCGCCCACACCCACCCACACCCACACGCACACGCACACCCACACCCCAACCCCACCCACACCCAACATTCCAAAGTCTTTCTCAAAATTTGAATGGCTGGAATACATTTGTAAATGTTCTCAATAGTGCAGTTTTTAATATTTGTGCAGATAAAAATACACATTCAAGATGTGTAGGATCAAAAGAGATGTCTCAAAAAGTGCTAGTTGTCAACTAAATACAAAAAAAACAAGTATTGAAGAATTTTTAGGTGTGATGCGAATAAATTCTGATATAGTTTTCTTTAGGCCGGAACTGTTACTATATTAGATTTATCAAGGCCATAAGCGAGACTTCGATCTTGAAGTCTTCCCTTAAAAAATAAGAGTTTTGAAGAAAAAGACTGCCAAGTCCTGCTGAAAACTCTTGAAAAACAATCATAGTACACTAGAATTTTTTTACTTGAGAAGGTAATTAGTATTAGTAGACAAGATTTTCTTTCTGTCTTTTTAAAATTTCATTATATTTAGTTAATGGATAATCAAGAATTACGTACAGATCAAGTAACACGATGGATAGCACAAAGTAAAATGATTTTTTTTCTTTGTGAACAATCATATGTTCAAGAACGTCAAGATAAATATTGGAAATGTGTTGAATTAGGTATAAGATTTTGCTCGCCAGAATTTATAATTGAATCATTAGCTCAATATCAAGTACAAGATTACGCTATTTATGAAGAAGAACCTCATCAAAATGAAGATGACAATGATAAGAATTATACAATAGAATATAAAGAATAGAAACTATATTTTACTTATCTTATTTTTTTTCTTCTTTTGTTTGTTTTTGTTTATATTTAGTAAGCAGATTATGTAAAAAAAGAAGTCGGTGCTAATAAAACGATATATACGTGTATATGTGGGTGTAAAAACAAAGATTTATCTCGGTGAAAATGAAAGAGATAGATAAAAGATTTTGTAGTTTGTTGGAAGTGAGAATCTTTCAAATCTCCTGTTAGGAGATTAGAAGCAATGTGAAACTTGGACTGAATACGTCATGTACAATTTTCTATCAAATGCTGAACTTAAAAAGTCAAAATATAATGCTAAAAGGTTTTGTAGCGTTCTCTTGAAAACAGATTTCAATAGCAATTGAATTCATCATCGTGTTCGCCATATGAAATAACCTTAGAGCACAGCTCTGCAATATACTCAATATTCTCGACATTGATTTCTATGTTAACTGTATAGATGATATAACCGATCGAAACGAATACAGAAGTCAAAAAATATTTATATCAAAACTAAATGAAGGTTCCAAGCTTACAGACAAATTATCTGAGATGGTGGACAAATCCACATTTGACTCAATCAATGAATATGTTTTTTGAACAGAATCAACAATAAAAAGTTTTCCAGCAATTCCTGTGGGGAACCACAAGTCTCAAAAGCCTTTTAGTCAGCTGTATGAAAACTAATCTGTGGAATATCAACATCTATCATGTTTTACTTTTTGCTACAAAATTCAAGTAGAATGGAAGATCAACTAATTAAAGATTAGCCTGAAAATAGTACTATCTATATAATTTACCTTTTTGTTTTACACATCCACTGAAGTGACGATTAAAAACAATACATAGTATTAATTTGCGTAATGTCAGCTACCGATTAACAAAAATAAATGTTCAATTATTACTGATCTTTCCTGAGAATCAAATGAGTGCCCTCTTCACAACCTGGCCTCCATACTTCTTTTATTACTATAATCAGCATAAATGTTCTTGGTTCTTTGGTTTTTCAAGTATTTCCTATGTTTCTTGACTCAGAAACCTTTTTATTCAATAAAAAGATCATATGCAAAATTAGCACAAGCAACTGCATTGAACCATATATAATGTAATCATGATTCTACTTTTGATCATGTACTAGGCTTATGAAGAACAATTCTAGAGACAAAACAACTGTTTATTCGCAAAAAAATGTCATGTTCATATGACAGACTATAAGTGCCGAATGTGTACTGTCGACTGAATTTTTCGACTAATTTTAAGCTTGAGAGAAAAGTTCACACGATCAACGCCTACTCTATAGTACAATTGTGAAACTCAAAAAAGCGAAAAAGTTATAGAATTTTTAGAAACGAACCTACCTTTTTTGGGAGTGAAAGTTTCGAAACAGAAAATGTCGAAATACCGAAAAAAAGCTGGTTCTGGTCAAATCTGAGCTATTGTTTTCGATTGAAAATCAGCAGTTTATGGAATGAGTCTGACTTGTGAGTAGGTCAGCTTTTTGATAATCTCAGAATCATGCTAAGATGGNTGGCGTGGATCTAGAGTGAAAAATTATCTACCTTGTACTGTTTTTTATTCGTAGAAAACAAGAAATCCGAAAAACAAATTCTTTATGCAACGAGATCAGAACTAAAATTCGATAGAATATTAGATTTCTCAAAGATAGAAAATAGAAGTGCGGTGTGTACGCTACAAAACATTCATTATTTTATATAAAAAAATATCCTCAGATACTAATAAATGTCCTAACATTTCTTCGAACGGTCAGTGTACACACGGGTAGATTCTGCATCTCTACCTACTATAGATATAATAATAATGTTAAATCAGGAATAACCGAATACGAAAAAGAAAAAAAACGAATGAATAGCGACAAGGTAAATTAAAGATTTCAGTTCCAATCACAGAAATAGACCAGATGTCATTCAAGTTTCAGTCGATTGAGAAATGTGATGAGCAGCTACGACCGTTGATGGTTTCTGTACTTAATAACATAACGCTTTAACGACACTTCACACTATAGAAAATACATTGTCTCGATCTCGATCGTCGAATAAGTACAAGAAAATATAATTTGTAGATAAATAAATGAAAAAAATACTCAGAAATAAATTCATAAATGCTGATTTTCTAAAGTAAACAACGTGACAGATACATAGATTTTTATCTATTCTATCAAACATGTCAATTAGATATATTAATTTCATGCATTTTATTCAAATGATAGATAATTTGCTAGCAAAGTTATTTTATCAAACAAGGAAAATAGAGAATTACTTCATTAAATATTTTGTTTGTTCGGATTGATTACAATTGAGTCGTGTTGCATCATTTGCAAAGTTGTTCGTAACAGTCACTAATTTTTCATATTGTATCACAAGTTTCTGAAAACATGGAACATATGTAATTGCATAATGTAGAATTAGCACAATTGTACAACAAGAAATATTCAGAGGTCAATTATAAAGTGAAAGTTGGGCATATATCACCTTTTATACATTGATTCATATTCAACTAAAACAAATTTGTACAGATGACAAGAATACGTGCACATGTATCTGATCTGCTCTAGGAACAAACGAACGATCGACGATCCTTCTAATACTATGATAATAAAAGGGGGCTATTTTTTAGTTTTTAAATAATATAAAAGTACGTTCGGTGGAGACATTAGGATGTTCACAAGCAAGGAGAATACGTTCCATAGAAATCATCAATTGTTATCTTCTGCATCCACTAAACTATTGTCTATCCTTTCTATAAATTATCTAGAAAATCTAGCAAAAAGTATTATCATAACAATATGAAAACAATTGCAAACATCTATCAAGTCATATATGACTGAAAGTCAAAGAAAAGATTAAACAAATAGTAAGAATAGAAAACAAACGATTGATAACTTCAAAAAATCTTCCTATACAGCATTTGATTAAAATTTTCTATAAGATTGATAATAATTAATCATTGGTTCGAAATCAGTATATGCTCATGGAGCAACTGTTTAATATCAGTTTCAATTTAAAATCAAATAAAACTCACATAATACTACTCGACTTTTTCGACCTAGTATATTGTGAAACTATATTTATTTTATCAGCTAATGAAATTATAATAAAATGATAAAAAATATATGACATTTCTGAGCAAGTTTACGAGTTGCTTACGGTTATAATGTTAAGAGTTAATAAACAGATGTTTTTTGCTGTTTCGAAATAGTATTTTTGTCTTTAGTCAAAAAGCTTTTTCACGAAATAAATACAATAAATGAGCAACATCCTCAGGATAGTCCGTGCGGATTTGATACGGTGCACGTTTCGTACTTGCAGTCTGTGCCGTATGAACTGACACGTACGTTAAGTGTACTATTGTCTTATCAAAGTACAGTAAACGCAATCCTTGAGGAATACAACGTCTATGAAGCGCGATGTGGGGTCAAAGAAATAGAGAATCATTTTTAGACAGTATATTGTACGAATTTTTATAGATATTTTCTTTCATATTGTTTGACCTTGCTTCTTTTCTAATTATTTAAGCTAATGTTTTATTGTTCCTTATGATCATCTTCAATAATGTTAGGGTATTGTTATCGACCCTTTCGTAATTGTTAAACGTATTTTCTTTTTAACAAAATACATCTTTCTCAATAAGTATCTTGTCCTAAAGAAAAAAAAAAGCTTTTTAATATGTTGTGTTTTTAGTTATTTTTATAACTGGCGCTTTTT